CCCCCCCCCCCCCCCCCCAAATATTCTCACCTCTGTCAACCCATCAATTGTTGTCGTCAACCTCTCCCCTCATGTCTATCCTTCTCCTCTCCACATCTCACTCCATGCTAATATCTTCCTTGTCTTAGTATCAGAAAATCATGAAATGAAAGGGGAAAAAAAAAAAAAAGACTTTGAAAAAGGAAAGGCCAAACCTGCTGTAGAAAAAGACAGACAAAACCTGCTGTTGCTCTCATTCCTCCTCCCTCGTACATAGATAGCCTGATTCTTTCTCTCACAGGTGGAGCGCACTGGCCTTTCTTGTATTGTATATGACAGCATATCTTCTTCTTCTTCTCTTTTTTTTTTTTTTTTTTTTTTTTTAATAATTTGGACCATTTCTCGATTTATGCGTGTATCCTTACGCAGGGGCCATGCTAATCCTCTCTGGATCGTTCCAATTTTAACGGATGTCCCGAAGGACATGACAGCATATCTTCTTTCTTCTTCTTCTTTTTTTATTTTTTATTATCGAGCTATCAAGTAATTGTTATTCATTTCGGGGCTTTGGATTTCGTTCCACAACACAGGTCCTGGACAACATTCATGATGTGCATCATTTCATGAATGTTGTCCTCATCTCCTTCACCCTAACTTGCCTATGGATAACTTATGAGTTTTATCTCTACCGATTGGTTGTTTCAACCTCGAACTTGTTTCACTTGGGCATCGATTGATTCCACTTTGTGTTTCCGTGACCCTTTCGTCTGCTCTGACCGTGATGTGTTTTATTGTACCAATTGGTTGCTTGAACGTGTTTGACTTTGGTATCAATTCCACTTTGTATTTCCATGACTCTTTTGTCTGTGTATAATACCCCTTGCATTGTATGAATGTCCTGAGTCCTGACGTCAATGTGTTCCTCGCTTCTCTCTTTTTCTGTTAATCATGCAGATGGTCCCTGTGCTTGGTGCCGATGACAATGCAGCTATTAGCCGCCTTCCTGTTCTATTGATGTCCCGTGGAGTGAAGATGGTCGCATGCGGTCAGGTATGATGTATGTCTGGTGAGTGCTGGTGGCTCTACTACCTTCTTCACCCGAATACAAATACAGCCGTTATAGCTGTATTTGGGGTATTTTTCAGTCTAAATACAGCAATAATGACCATACGTTGTATTCAGGTGAGGACGGTAGTAGTTTCTGTCGGTGTGCGCAATGAATCATATCTTCTCTGCATCATTCATCCTCTTCTCTCGAACTTGTTTTCGTAAGAAAAAGGGTAAAGACTCTAAAGAGAAAGAAAGAAACATACATGGTAATTAAAGTATTTTTGTTTTTGTTTTCGCTGTAAACCACCAGTACATGGCGCCAGCCAACTTGAGAATCACGACTGAGCCTCTCCGAAAAAATTGGCGGCTAGTGGCCATGATTGGAGCTAACCAGACCACAATGGCTGGTGGTGCCAGCGAAAACAAAAACAAAAATACCTCGCTGGCATTTTGGTAAAGCTTGGCGCGCAGGGGGAACCCACCCGACTTGTACAAAAGAGGTCCGGATGTACTGGTGGTTTAACTTTAAGCGCCACTCTGAACTGTTTGGTGTGTGGGTATGTGGCATTGTCATTTTATGTCCTTTGTGCCAGGCCACTGTTTAACCCATGATTTCTAGCGAGAAATGCGCTCTTTCACTAAATGCTACATGTCAGAAGAGAAAAGACGAAGGGACATAACAAAAAACTCGAAAAAAGCCAGGGTTCCATGGCAGCCGACGCCCGGAGACCGCCAACAGATGCGCAGCCAAGTGGTCGGCGGACCGCTGACTGGTTGGCTGCGGACCACTGGATGAGTTTACAGAGCGCGTGCGCCAAACACCCAGAGAGACCTGGGTCCATGGCAGCCGACGCCCGGAGACCGCCAACAGATGCGCAGCAAAGTGGTCGGCGGACCGCTGACTGGTTGGCTGCGGACCACTGGATGAGTTTACAGAGCACGTGCGCCAAACACCCAGAGAGACATGTGAAAGCTATGTCTCGAGGTGTTCGGTTTGAGTTTCTTGGAGATGGGGGGTGGTGGGGGTGGGGGTGGGGGTGGGGGTAGGGGAGTGGGGGGGTTGCTGGGGGACACATTGGAAAGCCAATTAAGGAGAGAAACTTCAGACAGGGGATGTCTCTTGTCAATCTGGCTGCATGAGGTGGTGGGGATCAAAAGGCAATCCTATTCACCGGTCACATGTTTTTGACCAAGCCCTGTGCCCATGAAGAATGAGCATGGCAAGATCTGAACGGTGAAAAGGACTGTTCATGGGTACAGGGCTTGGCCAAACAAACTGGTGGGTCCAGCCAGATCTGCCAGGGGGATCAGGACCAGGTCCTCATATCATACACCCAAAAACAAAAAAAAAAAAAAAAAAAAAAAGGAAGTTCACTTTGGGAGAAAAGAGGGAAAGAGGCTGCTCAGCACATGGAAAAGGAGGTTATACGTTATAACAACTTTGCATTGTTTGCAATGAGTTTTTTTTTTTTTTTTTTTCGTCAGGTAGGTTCTCACAGAGGTGAAGTTTTTTTTTTTTTTTTTTGAGAAGGATTATTTGTTGTTGCAATGAGACTCAGTATGAGAGTGACGGAAGTTTTCATGTGAACAGCCTGACTGGAAAAAAAAATGTTGGTGCTTAGCCTCCTCCTTGCCGTCCTCTGACCACTCCATATCTATCTTTTTTTTTTTTTTTTCCAACTATCGATCCATATCACCCTGTATGTCTAGTGCTTTGATTTTTTGTTCTTTCCGTTCGCTACATCCTGTAGCACATTCAGTGGCCAGAGGACGGCAAGGAGGAGGCCAAGAAAGAGGAGGAGAGGAGATTGAGCTATGCACGTTTTCCCCTTCACTCTACCCCACAGCGCATTCAATGAGTACCGTCTTCGCCCGAGTGGAAAGCGGAGGAGGAGGGAAAGAAGAAGAAAAGATGGCGAAGAAAAATGTGACTGGAGCTGTGCCGTCTCTCTCTCTCTCTCTCTCTCTCTCTCTCTCTCTCTCTCTCTCTCTCTCTCTCTCTCTCTCTCTCTCTCTCTCTCTCTCTNTCTCTCTCTCTCTCTCTCTCTCTCTCTCTCTCTCTCTCTCTCTCTCTCTCTCTCCATCTCTCTCCTGTCTATTTTTTGGCTCCTGCATTTCCAAAAGTATACCACTGTCCTCTCCTCCCTCATGGATGTGTCGCAAGCGACACTGCAACATGCCCGCTTGTCTTGATGAAAATACTGAAAGAGGAAAAGCTTTTTACCTTCCCGTGCTTTGATGACATCAAGTTGTGATGCCAACGACGAGTTACGATTGATGTTCATTGCTCTGAATGCTGTGGTGGTTGTTTGCATAATATGTAATATGTCTGATTGAAGTTGATAGAACTGATTGCCTTTCGTGTGTTTCCTTTGTGTCCTGATTACTCCTCCCTCTTCTGTCAGTCGCACACGTTGGCATCTACTGTTGATGGGAGGCTGTGGGGGTAAGTGATCAGGCCTTGATCTGCTACCGTCTGTTTTGTGCTCATACCAGGGGCTGATCTTTCTCTCGTTTTCCTTTTTTTTCTTCTTTTGAAGAAAGACAAGCCAACCCGCCGCAGCTCAGGAGCGGAGGGGGTACTGAGAGGAACCAAAGGGCATGTCAGTGTACGCAGAGGAGGGGAAAGACAGAGAAAAACAGCAATTTCATTTTAACATTTCACAATGGAGTTGAATGTGCAGAACAGGGAAGTGGTGGTGGGGGGGGGGGGGGGGGGGGGGGGGGGGGGGGGGGGGGAATTGGGCCGGGAGGGGGGAGGAATTGGCAAGGAGAAAACAAATGTGCTGTTGACAATGCATCAATTGTTGCAAATGACTGTCAAAAGCAGATGTATGCACTCTCTCTCCGAACATCAAGGGAGTCAGTCTTCCCTCCTCTCCTTCGACGTCGTCGTTCCCCCCTCCCTTCCACGTCATCCTCCTTTTTCCACCCCCGTCGACTCTCTTCTTCCGTCCCGTTGAAATTCACTTCATCCCTGTCCACCCTTCTTCCCTTGCTCGATCGCCTTGCTCACGATGGTCGTCGTTGTCTCGTCAACCTTCCTCCTCCATGTCATCATCCCTCCCCTTCCATGTCATCCTTCCCTCTTCCCTTTCCATGTCATCTCATCTCTCCCCTTCCGCGTCATAGCCATCCTTCCTTTCTTTCCTCCCCTTCCGTTGTCATCCTCCCCTCCTTTCCTTGCTCGATCGCCTTGCTCGATCGCCTTGCTCATGATCGCCTGCTAACAGGTGAATACCGTTTCACTTCCTTTCTTTCCTCCCCTTCCGTTGTCATCCTCCCCTCCCTCCCTTTCACATCATTCTCCCTGTCCGTCCTCGTCCTCCTCTATCACCATCATAAGGATTACGGCCTCCGTCTTCCTTTTTGTCATTACTGTAGTTGTCATTCGTCCTTGCACGTCATTATCCCTCCCCATTGTCCTCTCCCCTTGCACATCATCATCCCTCGCCCACCTGATGCTTCCTTCCTCCCCTCCCTTCCACGTCATCCTCCCTTTTCCACCTCGGTCGTTGTCCTCTGTTTCACGCCACTATTCTTCTCCTTCCACACATCATCCATCCCCTTCCGCATCATCCTTCCCCCCTCCCCTTCCACCTCATCCTTTTCCACCCTTGTCGTCAGTCCACGTTCCACGTCATCAGCTCTCGCCTTCCACATCATCCCCACCCTTTCGCCTGATCCTTTCTTCCTGTGTCGTTCTCCCTGAGAGAGAGAGAGGAGGGAAGTGGGACCATGTAATCGGTGGCTGGCTAAATAGGCAGCGAAAATGTTTATGTCTATCATCACCAACACAAAGAAAATTCCGCCATGAACCACATCTTAAACCTGCATTCATGCCACGTGTAATTTCGATACGGGGGGGGGGGGGGGGGGGGGGGGGGGGGGGGGGGGGGGGGGGGGGGGGGAGAGAGAGAGAGAGAGAGAGAGAGAGAGAGAGTGTTACAATTGGCGCCATGCTGCAATTTGGGCGCCACTTTCAAATTCCACATTTTTCAGTTCTGCCCTTGGGGCTTTGCAGATTTGCCCCCGGTACTGTACCGGACACCCGGTACTTATACCGGTGCCCTGTACAGTACGGGGACCGGTTTTGCATCCAGCTTGGAACAAGTTCTGAGACGCTGTTTTCATGTGCAGTGTGACTCACTGCTACTTGGCCTTCGAAAGCAAGACTTCGACTTTTGCCTCAGCCTCTGGTTTTGCGTCCGGTCGAGTTCAGTCGCGTGAGTGAGTGTGTGTGTGTGCTCTCACTCTCTCTCCCTCTGTTCCCTCCTCGTCCTCTGCCTCTGCACCCGTTACACACAGAGAGAGAGAGAGAGAGAGAGAGAGAGAGAGAGAGAGAGAGAGAGGGACACGAAGGTATTCCGATATGGTTTGGGTTTGTGTGTGCATGTGAGAGATAATCACCGCCTCAATCATGGCCTTTTCGCCTCACTCTTCTGTGAGAAGCCCGTCATCATCATCATTATCATCATCATCATTGCCATCATCGTCTCCTTCCTACAAGTCTTCCATTCCCCACTCCTCCATCCTCCTCGTAGTTCTGCTTCCCCTTCTCCTTCTACTCCACCATCTCGGAGTTCTCCTCCTCTTCTTCCTTCCCCCCCCCAAAAAAAACTGTCCATCGATCACCTTCATTCCACACCTCATCCATTGCCTTGCATCCATCCACCCATCGACTTATACTCCACCCATTGTGATGCCATCGAAAGCAGCGTCATGCCTCTTGTATCTATCCCTCTAACAGGATGGTCAAGCCGATCAGCCAAGCCACGTCAGGTTGTTGTCCCTCCAAGCACCCCTCGCAGCACAGTGGTCGAGCCAATCACCCACAAAGCACTACCAATCACACGAAGCACGAAACTTGAAGCACTGCCCTTCAAAGCACGAAGCATGCAGGAAGCAAGCACGAAGGACGATGCACAAAGCACGAAGCAGGTGGCCTGCCATGCACGAAGCAGCACTACCCGTATTGTTGGTGCTCGAAGCAAGCACGAAGCACGGTCGATCCAGTCATGCATGAAACACGAAGCACAAAGCCTGACTATGTGGATCCCTCCTGCTGCCCTGCCAACCATGCACGAAAGACGAAGCACAAAACACGAAGCACGAAGCCTGACTATGTGGAGCCCTCCCGCTGGATTCCCATATGTAGGATGACTCTTATGTGACATAAAGCAACAAAATATCTGCAGTTCTGATTTTTCTGTCGGTTTGACTTCTCTATGCTTTTCCCCACAGGTGGGGGTATAACAGCAGTGGTCAGGCGGCGACTGGAAGGGCTGCGTATGCTTGGCGCCCCTCTCCAATTGACTGGTGAGTGCCGTGTCTTTCTCAAGGTCTCAAGACTCTCAACTCATGGTTCTGGCGCACACTGCTCTATGCAGAACAAAGCCACAAATTGCTGCAGTCCGCTCAGCCACAAATTGCTGTGCAATGCGCTTGTATGTGTGTGTGAGTGGGTGCAACGGGCGATGTGGGGGGGCGACGGGGTAGAAGAGCACGGAGAGAGAGAAGGGGGTGATGTTGGGG